AAAGGTCAGGTTCATAAATTAAGATTGGCACCCAAAAAACTGGAATAGGGAAAGGAACTGGAACCAAAGGTGACACCCACAGGAGGGAATAAACTGACCAGAGACACTAGTCATCACAGCACCGCCGCTGCCACAGCGCCCCGAAGAGAATAAGTTCCCAATACCGGTGAAAATATATTATATACATACATATTGGGGGGGGGGGGGTACACATATATATTATATATTGTTCTGTGTCTGTGATCAGTTTGGCCACTAAATAAACCAAAGCTTTCTGCTTTCCCAGGACAAGAAAGGGTCCAATCCAGCTGCCAAAGCCTCTCTCAGCAACAAGATCTTGACACCAGACAAGCCCTGGTCAGTAACGCTCTGTATTAGGGTCATGGGATGACCTCGATTCGAAGAGCCCGGGCTAGGTAATTCGACTTAATGGCTTTCCTTTATGCATGGGGTAGGAGGGAGGGGGAGAGAGAGTTCATTAGGGACCCAAGATACTGGGAGAAGGTAGGACCTTGTTAGTCCAGTGGGGTGGGGGTCCCTGCTATTCTTTACCCACCCCCCCGGGCAAGGCAACTGTGGGACATGGAGAGCTGGCTGCCCACTGGCTCCAATGGTGCTGCAAGGCACTGGAAACAAACAGGGGGGATTGGGAGGGGGGCCAGGAAACTCTGCACAGGCGGCTCCGAGACCAGACTGCAAAGCCGCCTCGAGACCCCCCGGGAGCTTGTTCTGGAATCGAGGGATCGCCCATCGCGACTCCCCCACGGCTTGGGGGGACACTGGATCAAAGCTGCTCCCCCCCTCCACCCCGCTGTGCAAATGGGGAGGGGCAAAAATGGCCATGGGGCCGCAGGGCCGCATCCCAGGCTTCCCCCGGCGGTGCTGCAGGACCGGGGGAGGAGACAAGGCCGGGGGGAGCACGACTCGCCCCCCCACCCCATCATGAGGCACCGTTGGTGAGGGAGGGGGGACAAGCCCCCGATATACCGCGGCCCGGGCCGGGATCAGCAGCAGCCAGGACCCCCCCCAAGTCCCATGCATCCCCACCGCGCCCCGGTCCCAGCCGTACCTGCGCCGAGGCCGCCGCGGGCCCCACAGAGCAGCACGAGCACCAGCCCCAGCATGGCCGCCGCCCAGCCTCCCACCCTCATGGCCGCCGCCTCCAGCACTAACTTGTCCCGGCCAGTTCTACTGGACCCAGCTCGTCCCAGGGCTCCGCCCCCCCCGGCCAGCCAATCAGCAGGCGAGTTCTGGGGCGCAAGGATGGGAAGCGGGAGGGGACAAGGGCCGCCGGAGCACGTAACCTGAGTGACCTGGGCGGTGCCTGTGTCACGTGGGGCTGGGGTCAGTGGGCCTGGGAGGGTAGCGGGGGAGCGGCAGTGCAGTGCAGTCTACACGGAACTGCACCAGACTAAGGGAGCGTACTGCAGTGTGGTGTAGAGCAGTCGTCTGGTGCAGTGCAGAGAACTAGACGAGACAACACTGCTCTGCACTGCACTAGTCTAGTCTAGTGCAGTACAGGCCCTTGTGTGACGCCTGACCCCCAGCCCCAAAACACTAGCATCTGCAGGGAGCACTGCTCTGCCCTGCCCCCAGCCCACGAGCAACAGGGAAGGGCATTTTTGCCATCGGCTTGGCTTGCAGCAGAGCCGCCCCATGGAAACATTGGCCCAGCAGCCCCAGTTTGCCCCGATATCCAGTTGCCCGCAGGCCGGGACGGCGCACTAGCTCCGCGGCCTAGCAGGGGCAACAGGGGTGAGGCGCTCTGTGCAATGGCAGCAGCACAGAGGGCAATCGCCAGCCCCAATGCAGCTGCTGGGAGTGCGAGGAGCTGTCACGGACGGGTCTCGCTCACACCTGGGACTGCGTCATCCTCAGGGATAAGCAGAAGGCACCGTCACTGCAGGATGCAGGGCCAGACACAGGCATGGGCCAACCAGGCGGCCGCAGACAGAAAGGGGGCCCAAAAATGGTGAAAATAATAATAATCATCTCTGGCAAAGGTGGGGGCCAACACTAAAAGTTGGCCCAGGGCTGCCAGGAGTCTAGGTAGGGTGCTGGCAGGACCCATGCAACAGTACATGCTCCAGGCAGGATCAGGCAGTCAATGGAGCAGGAAACTTTCCTCCCTCTCACTTCTTCCAGCCCTTCCGTGATGCTTTTGAGGCGTAATCATCCTATTGTACAGACGGGCAAACTGAGGCACGGTTAGAAATAAAATCAGCTCTGCAACAAAGTGCGGGGCTCTCAACAGGTCGGGGGCCATGCTCATGAAAGGGGCTGCTGCCCAGGGCCCCCAGCGATGAGTGCTTCGAGCAAAGGTACTGGGGCTTCCTAGGCTGTGTTCTTGGCTCTGTTGCTTTCCATCTGACTTTGAGCAAGGTCATTTCATTTCAGTGCCATGGCTTCCACATAGCAATATCAATTATATGAGAACAGGGTAAATCTTCCCCACCCTCTGCGTGCTAATTGACCGTCTCCCGTGCTCCTCTAGCACCATCATCCTCCAAATGCCCAGAGAAGCCAAAACAGCCCTGCTGAATCTTGAACCTGCAGCTGTTCGTAGAGTCTTTTTCCCAGAGAGAAAGAATCTCTTCCTCCCTTTCTTTCTTATATGCAGCTAATTAGTCTCATTTGTCAAGGACAGCAGCAGCTGCATTCCTTTAGCCTGCGTGCCTTGACTGGTTTAACAGGGGAGCTGCACATACTTATACAGGGGCTGAGTTAACCAGCCTCCTACATAGGATAATGCATGCTTGCTTTTCATCGAGTGCCTTAGCTAGCACCCAGCAGCAGCAGCTGCAGGAAGGCTTCCCAGGTAGGACACTCCTCACCATGACACCCTGGCCAAGAGTGTCCGGAGTGATTAGCACGGGCAAAGTGCATCTTAGTCGGTTTGTGCACAAGAGGAAAACAATGTGCGTTCAGAGTCCCGTGGCCGGACTTGCGAATGGTTAACATCTCCTATCCCCCATGCCTGGCCAGCCTCTGCAGTGCACTAAATAGCATCCAACACATGCTTGCTGCTGCTGCTTTTGTGCTTGGTGCCATCTAGGATCCAGTCCATGCTTCAGAGGCATAGCTGCGCAGCTCTGTGCCCTGGGCAGCCGTGCAATGGTGCTGGCTGCCCTGGTGCCAGCACAGCAGCACGATCAGCCACTGCTGTGGCAGCAGCTATTTTTGCACCCCCAAAAAAGCAGCACTTAAGAGTTGCTGCCCCAATCCCCCCCAGCAAAGTTATGCTACTTCAGTGCTTGATGAGCAAAGTAGGAACACCCGTCAGTGAGAGCCCAGCCAGACCCTGCATCTGAGACCAGCTCTGCCAGCAGATTCCACCTAATGGAACCACTTTCAAGCTTCTTTTGCTGGATGATGGTAACAGCTGCCCAAGGCGAACATTAGAGGCCTCCTCAAATAGTGCCAAGGCGAAAACACAGCCAGCTTATTCAAGAGAGGGCTTGGGAGCAGAACGGATAGTCCCCAAGTGCACACAATAACCATTAGGAGTACAGTCTAGACTGCCCTGCTGCAAGAGGCTTTAAAACATGAGCAGCCAGCTGTAACGGCGCCCTTCTGCCTCCAGCAGCCTGCCAGTCTGCACCGCTTTCATTGCTGGCTGCTATTGGGAAACCCACGCGAGCATGCTGCCCGTGGCAGATAGCAGCAGGTTTCTATTCAGCGCTTGCCTTCGAGCAATTGCCAGAGGAGTCATGAGGATGATGAGGCAATGTCGCATCTCCGGGGCTCTGCACACCAGCCTGGACAGACACAACCTGCATGTGGCATGGGCTGTTCCACAGCAAACACCCTCGGCAAAGTCTGCAGAAGTAGCACAGGGTTAAAAGCTCATTCTGGGAGAGCTCAGGCCCCCACTGCACTTTGATCCCATCTGTATTGGCAGGTCTCTGCACTCCTGGCAGATTGGTGTCCTGGCCAAATTCCAGCTGGGTTGATTAGGCTCTGCTCATGTGAGATCCTTTTCCCCTCCCCTGTCCCCATGGATTTGCTTTTACTCCCAAACCTGCTCCCTTTTGCTAACCGTTTTATAAGAACAGCTAAGGAAGCCGCTCAAGAATGATATAACCAGCACAGTGACTCCTGCGTGGCCTGTTGCATCCCATCCACGAGCCCTTCAGCATCATCACACTTGTTTTCAAACAAGCCGCAAGCAGGATGCATTTGTCTGCTGCTGCTGCGAGCTATTAGGTGGCTGCTAGGTTCCACCCCAGAAGTGGCTGCATTTTAGTGAGGGGCTGGAAAGTGCAGAAGGGCTTCTGCCAGCCTGAAACGAGGCAAGAAACACAAGCAGAATCAGGCAGGACAACCAGGATTCTGGAGAAGAGGCTTCAGCAGCAACCTGTGCCCATGCGGTGACCCCCAATCTCACACCTGGGGACTTTGACTCCTAGGTCAGCAGCAAGTCAGCATCCTGCACAAGCGCCGTCTTGCAGACACCCTGGCGTTAATCTTTAATTTTTATGGGGGAAAAGGTAGGCGATCTGGTGGCTCAGACATTTGAGGAGCTGGGAGCAGGCCTCTCCATTGTCTTTAGGAAGGACACTTCTATTATTGCGCTCTTACCTGCACTAAAATATGCCAACCCTGAGCCTCTCTACTGGGCTGGAGCATGGCCTGAAAACCCTTTAGCTGGGAATGCAAAGAATGAGAGCCCTTCCTCACAACCCCTATGCCCTGGGGCAGGGGTTAGGTGTTTATATTCATTGCAAATTTCTTTCTAAATTGGCTGGGAAGGCATTAGATCAGTTAATCATATGGATAAACTGATGGGCTTATTCAGTAGAGGATCTGGGGGCACCCCAAGCTGTGGGGAAGGAGGTTGGGAGCTTTTGGAAAAAGTCTCTCATCCCCTCCCCTTATTTTATTTTTAGCTTTTGCTGGTCCCTGGAGCTGCTTAGTGTTACTAAGGAAAGGGGACAGCAATCTAGGCCTCCAGGGGTGTGTATTTAACCAGGAGGGAGAAGTGGGTTGGGATGCAGAGAACAATACCAGGACAGCAGAACAAAGGCCAAAGCCAGCCACCAGCTCCTTCCAGAGGATAAGAATGGCCCTGGCTTATGGGGCAACTGCTGAGATCAAACCCAGGGGGAGAGGAAGCTTCTTAGTCAGCTGAAGCAATTATCAGGTGGGAATCAGGAAGGCTATGCAGTTATCACATTGCACAAAGGGCCAGGTGCATTCTTCCAAGGGAGGTGTGATTTTCCTTTGCACTGGGGCTTAGGGCCCCTGGGGAGGTGGGAGACACCGGGACTTAGGAAACAAAACCTGGGAGCAGCCCATTTTCTCCAAATTCCTGGCTTAAAAGCAGCAAGCAATGGTGTCTGCAGTCCAGTTAGTCCCTCGAGTGCCAGCACCCTTTCCTAGCTCAACTTCAGCTGAACACAGCTGATATCTGCAAAAGCAGAGGACAGATGAGATGGCAAGTGTGGAGAAAGGGGGTGAGATGACTGATCTGGGAGCAGCCTGACCCACCTTCAGCTCTAGGTGACTTTTCATTACTAATAGAGAGACTTAAAAAGAAAGGGTGGGGGTGTATTGTAATTGCCCCTTTAGTTTCTCAGCTTTTGGGTGCAGCCTGCTCAGATTTTTCCAGACTTTTCTCCACAGACAGTTGGGGAAAAAAAGTCACTTAAATTTCAACACACGGGAATCAAGAGCCTCACCTCTGACTCCTGAAGCTCAGGCTCAAACATGCCTACGCATCCAGCGAGGCCCGGGGAGCGGGTGCCCTGCCCCTCTGCATACCCTTGGCTAAGCAGGGCCTGGAAGGCAAACCCCCACCCCCCAAAAAAACAACCCCAAACCAGCCTAAAGCAGTGATGCACTAGAAATGTGCCATACCAAGACATTTGCAGATATGCAGGGAAGGAGTTCAGGAAGATTCGGCAGGTGGATGAGACAAAGCCAGCCCAGGCAGGTGTGGGCAGCTATGGGCAAACCCCTGCAGCCAGGTCCCAATGACGCAAGGTGCCCCTGACTATGGAGGGCAAAAGCATTGCAGCCCATTTCCCTGGCAGCTCACCTAGGGGTTCATGCCCAGCCCCGTGCAGTGCCATAGGGCACTTGCTTGCTCTTCCCCATTCCCAGCCTAGTGGTGGAAAGGGCAGGACTGGTATCCCTGCTCTCCATCCACATGACAAGTGACCACAGGGCAAGCT